TACCTTTGAAAACAGGAGGATCGGTGATCTTTTGGCAATGCCGAAAGCGAAACGTAGATTGCTGGCGCTCACGCTTGGTGTTATGATTCTTCTTCGATGGCTTTGTTGCGCCATCTTCCGATGCGGACTTAGTAGGCTCTTTTTTACATGCTGCATCTTTGAAGGAAAGTTCCGCGTAAGCATTTTTCCAGCAATTTGATTTGATGACCCATTTTTGTGCCAGATTATCTGCTTCTTCCTTTTCCTGGTGTGCCTTTTCACAATATCCACCAATGGTGTTGGATTGCTTGGCGAGTTTGACACACATATCTCTGAGGACATTTTCTATACATGTTAAAGATTTAATCTTTCCATAACTCTGATATTGATGATGACCAGCAAGATGAAGAATATCATGACATGTCATTTAGGATAAAAGGGGAAAAGGGCATTAATTAGAAGATAGGACCAATATAGTAAGGGGTGATTAGCCTAGAGTAGGTATGGGCATTGTGAATGTAGTCGGAAGCATCATAATATTAAAGAGGAGTCAAGTGCACAATATATATATACACGTGTCCTATCCCTGTCACTAATTACCAGACCCTGCACTGCCATAAACACCATCAATCTCTGCTATCCATTGCAATCCCAAGTATCAATATGAGTTACTTTTATACGGTATGTTTGTACGGGTCAACATCAAGATAGAAATGTTAACAGATGATTTGGCAACACTATGTGAGCTGGGTTCAGTTTCATCATGAATATTTGACATGGCTAACTTGTTACCAACACCACACGTTGAAATCTGCGATTCGGGTTCAGGAAGATCACGAGAAGTTTTCCACCATTCCCCCGTTATCGTGTCTTCATATGTCCGAGGGCGTATTGTGCGCTTTGGTCTAGAGTTAACGGATGTTCTTGAATCTTCATTTGATGAATGGCATTGATTTGACAAATTTGTTGTTGGCTGGGGTTCAATCTGAGCAGTAGCTAGAATTGATGACGGTTCTTGTGATGATGGCTCCCTTAAATCGGATTGAACAGCGTGACATGGATCTTGATTTTGATGGACATTTCGAGTATTTTATTCTTGTTCGACATTTAGAGAATTCAATAAACTGTTCAACGTCAGTGATGAAATTGGTAAGTTAGGTTGATTTGTGATGTGTGGGTGGAGATCAGAGATTTTCTCTGGGACAGACTTATCAAGCTGATGAGGTAAAAATTTCACATCTGCTGATATGATAACTGTTTTCTCTCAGGAACAAATATTCGATAGTGATGATTGACTTCAGTGTATCCAACAAACACACCTTTCTGCGCCCTTGGTAGAAGCTTGCTTCTGGATGGTCGCTTCGCCATGGGGACATGAACGTAGCATTCTCTTCAAAGGGGTTGAAGGTGTAAAATGGATGGTTTTCTCTCGTGGAAAGCTTCATATGGGGTCTGTCCATTTACAGAGCCATGTGTAGTACGATTTTTAGTGTAAATAAATGTCTGCGCTGCTTCAGCCCATATCTGTTTACCTTTGACTGTGTTTAGCATTGCTCATATTCCTTCAAAGATCGACCTATTAAGCCTTTCGGCTACAACATTGCATTCCGGGGAATAGGGAGGAGTCAAGTGATGACTTATCCCCTTCTGAGCAAGAAATTTGGATAGTGATTCATTGACATATTCGCCGCCATTATCTGTTTTAATTGACTTGATTTTGCAATTGTACTGCATTTCCAAGGCCGTAATAAAATCTATAGTGGCTTGCGCCGCATCAGATTTGTATTTTAGGGATCGGATTGTTGCACATTGTGTTGCATCATCTATGAAACTTATGTAGTATAAAGCGTTGCCATACAATGGAGCAGGGAATGGACCTGCTAGATCTGAATGAATACATTCGCCTTTGAGTTTTGCTCTAAAAATCAATGGAGAAGGCTTTTGATGTACTGATTTGGAAGATATACAGGCATCACAGTAAAAGTTCTTGGGTGTATTTGGCATGATACCTGAGTTCTGTATAAGCTTATCTGTCTTAGACATCGTAGAAGGCGCTGAATGACAGAGAGCTTCATGCCAAAATTCAAAGGTTGAACATGCGGTTTCATTGTTTTCGGTCCTTTCCCTGATCACGGGTAACGGACTATTGTAATAAGCTTCCTACAAATTTTTATTATTTTTATAGATCCTCATAGTTATACCATTGTCCTGGAGCATATATCCTTTAGATCTAGCTTTCATCCAAGAAAATAAAGGCAGGGATAACTCGGGCATGTAGAGCACATCATCTATTCTAACTGTAGAAATATTTCCATTTAATAGTATACAATTTAACAGTACAGTTCCTTTCCCCTCGATTGATATCTTTTCATTTGAGCTTGATATTACATAACCAGCACAGGATGAAAGTTGTTCAAATCTTCCTGGGTAAGGGCACATGTGAGCTGTTGCACAGGTATCAAAGTAGAAGGGATGATGAGTAACTTCTTGAGGTCCATTGAAGGCAACATTTGCTTGTTCATGGATATCGTTAAGTTCTCTGGATCTCATGGCTTTCTTTTCGCAGAGTCTGACATAAGAGTTCAATACACAATCTTTGTACTCGAGCAGATGATTTTTCTTAATGAAGAAACATTCTCTTGGTATAGAGTTTTTAGAGTGTCTAGATTTGGTAACCTTTGATGGTTTCGCTACTCTTTAGCTTCATTTTTTGAGCTTCCTAAAGTGCGTAATCAGAGCTGTATGAGGAGAGGATTGCATAGGTAATTCATGGTCAATGTCGAGAAGATGTTGCTTGACTTTAGCATAGGATAGATTATCATTTGTTACCAAGTTTTCAACAATATTCTTATGATTTCGACTTAAGAATGCCAGTATCAAGTCTCTCTTTATCTCATCATCATCTAGAAAATCAGCAATCTTTTGACATCTCAGGCTGGAGGATTCACGAGCTGATGAAGTAGTCTGGAAGTATTCATTCTCATACACGTCTAAGAAAGGAGTCATTTTGCCATTGGAATCATGTGTGCTTAAGAGTGACATCAAGGATCCAAGCAGGTGAACTAATGTGAACTTATTAGTCCGATGGTATTTGGTCATCAAAAAGATCCACATCTTGTGGGGGTCTTGTAACTTGAGAATTTTTCTCAGTATACTTGGACATACCACTAGGATATATATATTGATAGCAATTGTGAACAATTCGCTAAATGCTTCCTGCTCTTCAAGGCAAGCATCTTCCTTTGGCTTTTTGCCATCAACAACAAGTTCATAGAGCTTTTGGCCTTTCCAGATTGCCTCCATTGTTGTGGCCCATGACTCGTAGGTATTGTGTCCGGTCAGTTGGGTAACATTAGAGAACGAGATGTTTCGCATTGAGCAGTTAAGTCGCTTTGTGAAATATTTATTGTTTTCTTTATTGAGGATGGAGGTATGGTTTGAAGGTAAATTTGCCATTTCTGTTGAACTGTTAGTGTTGGTATATATGTCCTGACCTCACTTTCCAATGTTAGTCATAGATTAGTCATCGTTCATTATGAGTATTAGTATCTTTTTGTAGAATAGGAGAATAGACAAGATCCACCAACACAACTGCAGAAACGTGACATACAGTTTACGTTCTTTGCATCGTGTTTAAGTATCCCGACACTGATCAGTGAGCGCGCACAGATCAGGAAATAAGTAGAATTGGAAGGATATTGCTTCCCACCTTTAACTTCTATTTCAGCCGAAGAGAAGGAAGTATCTATCTGGAAGCTTGATAGCGTATCTTATCGATCGATTATCGCCGACGGGTTTGATTCTTCTTTAGCAGAGATAATAATATTTTATTGGAAGGATATCGTTTCCCCCCTCTTAAGATATACCGACTCTTCAAAAGCGTAAATTCTAAAAATGACAGAACAAGATTGGAAGGCTTTAGAGGCCAAATGGGATGAAGGAATCGATCTTAGCACGGCAACTCCTTATGATATCAGTTCCTACATAGAAACGAAGATCCATTTCTACGAAGAAGACAATACTACTGACTCAAATCTATGGGAACAGTACCAAGATGACTTCGCAACCTTCACAATAGCTGCTTTCAAAAGCCCTGAACTGAAACTAATTCAACAGCTACGAGACTGCCTCTTAAGTAGAGGAGTTTACGTAGATCGCAACACAAATAGGCTCACTATTTCACAGGCACTTTACAATTGCGCAAAGGAAGAAAAACAGCATAAATGGTCTGACAGCAATGTCATCAATGCCGCTGAACGATTAGAAGAGCCTCTGAAATCAGTAAAGCTGAAACGACATCTAAATGCAATCCAAGTAGATAATATAAACATAGAAAAATACAGCGACAATGGCAGCGAGTTCAAGACTGAAAAACCTTCCGACCTGCAAGTACCCCTACAACCAATTTTGCCCAATTCAAAAGTACAATCTTTACAAACCTTACAAAGAGTGCAGGCTCTCGGACCGACATCACCAATACCTCCTCCTACTTACGTTGCGCAGATGTCGAACTTGATTAAGGTTTATTCTGGCGAGGCAAAATACGAAGGAACTGGGGATAGTATAGATCACAAATTGACGAATTTTCACCACCTCTGTGATCTCACTGGTGTACCCAGAGAGGCATATCCAAGAGCACTCTCAGTAATGCTGTCAGGATTCGTAAAAGAGCACTACCTCGCAGCAAATCTGTCGTACTTAACTTTTGAGCAAGCAGTTGACCATCTTCGTAACTTCTTTGAAGGTCCTAGTTACAACCGAAGAAATCTAGGCAAATGGAACGGAACATCTTTAAAGTTGATTATGTTGCAAAATAAAGCTAAGTCAACATCCGAATTTCTACAAATCTTGGTCCAAACACTGAGAGAGATCCAGCATGGCCTAACAGAAATCTCCGTACCAACTCTCTTATGCACAACAAATTTATTACTGCGTGCAAAGGCGTTCCAGCTTGCAGATATGCCATTGCAAACCCGCCACCAAAAGTTGGTGAACTCTTGAATCAGCTACAGAACTCTATAATGGCCTATGAAGGAGAAGAGAAAAATGATCAATTCAATGTCAACCAAGATGCATTCTTCACAGACAGACAATATCATCAAACAGGTAAAGCACAAACCAGTAAAAATAACACGCAAAGCAAGACATGTTATATATGTGGCAAAGAAGAATGTCGTTCATGGAAGCATACCAATGTTGAACGCGAAAGATATAAGGCAAAGTTTCGAACTTCACTTAAAGAAAAGCTAGGATCTCGATTTGTTGACGGCAATTGCTTCAAAAAACAATATCATCAATATATAGTTGACTTTGAAGGTGATGATGAATCCTACGCAGATAGCGACGAATTTGAAGACGCCTTTAAAGCTTTGGAGCTTGAAATACAAGGTGGTAACAACAATGCTCGAGAAATAGACGAATCAGACGTCTTCTTGACTTCATTTGGGGAAATCAGTTGCACTGCTACTAGATCTATAATGCTAGAAATGGCAGCAGATTTATCAAACAGATCCTCCATTCACGCTCTCACTACCACTAAAAATATTGCGCCTAGCTCCTCTGAAGCTGATCCCTTTGCCTATACAACATCTCCTCTTTGTTACACCTCCGAAACATTTATGGGTATCATGATTGACACAGGGGCTTCTAAGAGATTGACCGCGGGTTATGGCCAATATAATGCACTTCAAAAGCTTAATAATAATGTTTTAAATTTAAACAAACTTGATAAAGGACTAGTGAATGTTCAGTTTGGAATCGAGTCTACATCATCAATTGGATCAATAAAAGTAGATTCACCAATTGGAAGAATTGTATTTCATGTTGTCAGGGCTGATACTCCTTTTCTACTGTGTCTTGCAGATATGGATAAGCTAAAAACTTACTTCAACAATCTGACAAACACTTTAGTGACACCTCATGGAATTGTGCCGGTCATACGAAGATTTGGTCATCCATTCATACTGTGGGATAATTCACTCTCGATTTATATATCTGAATCTTTCAACCAATGCCCTTGCTATCTTACCAACATTGAGCTCCAACAGCTTCACCGTAGATTTGGCCACCCTTCTATTGATAGGCTTCATTGTATATTAGAGCGCTCAGGACATGGAGATTCCAATCACCGCAAATCCCTAGAAGCAATCACACGGTTTTGCAAATAATGCCAAAAGTACGGTAAATCGCCCGGATGATTCAAGTTTACATTAAAAGAAGATGTTCAGTTTAATTACTGCATCTTTGCTGATGTAATGTATATTGACGGAAATCCTCTCCTACATGTCATTGATGAAGGCACAAGATTCCAAGCTGGCAGGTGGTTAAAGAATATGTCTGCCAAGAGTACTTGGGATGCGCTATGTGATTGCTGGATTAATACCTACTTGGGACCACCAGATATAATCTCACATGACACTGGTAAAAATTTTGCCAGTAGGGAATTCCAGCAGTGTGCCATTAATGTTGGCTCTACTACAAAAAGTGTGCCAGTAGAGGCTCATAACTCCGTAGGCGTAGTCGAAAGATATCACGGTCCCCTTCGCCGTATCTACCAAATAATCACAGCAGAAATTCCTGGTATTAACAAAACTTTTGCCTTGCAAATGACTTTCAAAGCTATAAATGATTCCGTGGGACCTGATGGGCTGGTTCCTACCCTCTTGGTATTTGGTGCATATCCACGTATGGTTAAAGAAAATGCTCCCTCGCCCTCAGTGACACAAAGAACGGAAGCTCTTTGTAAAGCCATGAAGGAACTAGAGCAAATCCGTGCCACACAGCAAGTCAATGATGCACTAAAAATGAGAAACTGTCCTTTCACTACGGCAATACATGCCTTGCCGCTCAACCCGCCGGTGATGGTATGCCGAGAAGGTAATGCAAATCAAGCGGGAAGCTGGACTGGCCCCTACAAACTTTTAGACGTCAACAGTGAGACCTGCACTCTTGAGCTACCTGGTGGACCTACTAAGTTTCGGAGCACAAGTGTCAAACTGTACTTAACTGAAACAACAAAGCTGGTTCCGGACAACGATGATTTCGGAATTACTGGAACGGAACAAGTAAAATCCTCTTTAGAAAATGACCCCCTTGCAGATGATTCACTACAGTCTGGAAGACCCAAACGTCAAGTTGGTAGACCTCGCCGGTATTCCACTGAAGTAAACGCAGCAATTGTATCAGCGTACTTTCATGAGAGTGGTCAATTTAAACAGTCCTGCCAGAAAGAAATTGCTGGGCTATCAGAGAAGAACGTCTTCGAGTTGGTTGAAAACATCAACATACCCGCTGGCACTAGGGTTTTCAATTCAAGATTTGTTGACGAAGTAAAGTGTCACGATCCGTGAGAGCCGTATTGCGTGCGTGTGGGGATACGGGTTAGCGCGCCTTGGCATCACGTTGGATGACTGAGCACAGCCGAGGGAGATATCTCAGAGAGGGTCGAGAATAGCTACCTCCTCTCTTTGTCTTTTATTGCCTTTACAAGCGTACCTCTTGATAGCAATATAATAACTTATACAACCTCCTTGACGTGCCGTAACATAATAAAAGACCATCACCTCGCTGGGAAGCAGTAATATCCACTCGGAACGAATTCGACGTCGGCACCACCTTTTTGGTACGACTCCTACGACTCCCGCCTTACCTGTATAATTACAGGTGCCTTCTGCCTCATATCTCGATTGCAGACAGTCTCAGAGCAAGCTGAACTCCCTCTCTCTATCGGCATCACCTTTTTGATACGAAACCTCAAACTTTGCGACTTCGCGACACGGACTCGCGCTTCAGCCTCGCCCTCAGCCTCGTGCGCGCATCCTCAACTACCAATCTCGACCTCTGCAAACCCCTCCCTACCTACGCGCGTTCGTCTCAATACTATACACACGAGGAGCGGTCCCTCCCATATGCAACCGCGCCGAAGCAATCGAGAGCTCTCTACACCAGCCCGATTTGGATACCCCGCGGAAGAAAAGAAGAAGAAAGGCGATACCACGCCAGTGGAGGAGAACATATTGAGCACTATTGAGAGTGATACAATCAAGGAGGAAGACGAACACACAATGGTGGACCAAGCATTCTCTACCAGCCAGTTGGTGGCAATCAACGAGATGCTCAAGACTGCAGTTGTTTCTGCTCTCGCCGTCGAAGCTACCGAAGATGCTGCTAGAAAGTCTCGCGCACTTACTGCAGACCTACAACCGGCTATTGATCACTACCTCCCAAAGATTGACAATTCTGTCAAGCCTGTCGATTCTCACAAGATTCGCTATCCCCGCCTCCTCTTTACCGACCACAATGGAGAGATTGAGTACGATGCTTGGAAGATGGACATGAAGCTCTTTATTGAGGAGTTCTCTGGTAACTTCTGTGCTGGAGACTCCCAGGTAAAGGCGTACTTCAAGTGTACTGGAGGAGAGGCCAAGACTATTATCCTTCAGCATATGGATACAGATGTTACTACCGAATTCAAGGGTGCTGCCGACGTCCTCGCTGCCCTAGATCAACGTTTCTTCGACCACAACCGTGTCCAAAAAGCCAAAGCTGCCTACAGCAACTTGAAGATGACTAGTAATATGACATACAATCAATTCCGCATCAAGTTCACCAACCTAGCCATCACTGGTAAAATCGCCAGGGCTCGTTGGTTCGATGACGTTTGTGAGAAAATCTCTCCTGCCTTAAAGCTCCAAATTATGACTGAGAAGTACAAGATGAGCAACAACTACACTACTCTCGACGAGTTCTTAGCTGTCACCGACCGAGAATCTCACAACATCCTCGCCGAGGATGCTCTCCATAAGAAGGTAGTCGCTGTCGCCGTCGGAAACAACGCTAGCAGAAACCCGAGTATTTTGAAAAGATCGGGATGGACTGCTGAACGCCTGACGGCTGACGCTGCTCGCAACACCCCCGCTGTACGCTTCCCTACCACTCCTGAGACCGTACCACAAGTCATACGCCGTACTCTCAGCGCTACCAATACCTGTCGTCTCTGCCGAAAGGAAGGCCATTGGGCTAGGGATTGCCCCAACGCCGTAAAGATCGCAGAACTGACTGGTAGATCGGTGGAGGAATTAATATTAAAGCACGATGACGGCGACAAGGACGGCCTACAACCTGTTGAGGTTGACGAGCTGTCGGGAAACTCTTAAGCCGTGGAACAGTCTCCTCTCATGGCAAATGCCTCGATTTGTGGAAAGTCTTGAATGCTGATTTCCGTTCTCTTACTGGAGGAAAACAATTCCTAGTTAGTATTGAATTAGGTAGAAATGGATCATTCATCAAAACAACTGCACATATCGACGGCGGAGCAAATATCTTTGGGGCGCTTCGTACCTCTGTCGCTCTCCAACTTCGTGACCTTTTAGGCGTCAAATTCCTTACTCTCCCCAAGCCAATTATACCTACTGGCTATAACGGACAGGCCGGCGCTGCTATCACCCACGTAACTCTCCTTACCCTCACAATCGATCGCCGCCGCGTCAACTTCCCATTCTTGATTACCGACCTGGGAAGCAATGATGTGCTCATCGGCCGAAAGTTCTTAGAACATTACGAACTCAAGCAGAATTATAATCGTCGTACGAAAAACCGTTTAGAGTGGCCGTTTGATATGCCACCTCAGCACTACTTCGATAGGCGTCTAGAGCTACTCCTACCTCCCAAGACGCCCATGGTGAACCTACAGCACCAACTTGACCAGCAACGACGAGATGCTCTGTTTGAAGAGCTCTCTAGTGTACAAACTCCCCCTTCCCTTCGACCGAAGAAGACTCAAAAGCGTCCCTCCTCGTTTGTCAGGGAACTTAAGCAAGGCTTCCTAAGAATGAATGAACTACTCGCTGATCACCAACTGGCTAAATCGCCCTCTACCACCCGTGATCCCGGCTCACGAGTCGAGCAAGCTGATCAAGCTCTCCAACGCCAGACCGTCGTCGTGGCAACTCGCCGAGTTAAAAACGAGCCGTATAAGACTGATATCAACCTGATCTCCGCCGCCTCAATGCACCAGTTCTACTTGCATCGGAAGCACTGCCAGAAGGCCCATAACGACGATTCGGAAGTTCTCGTCGCCTCCCTCAAAGAAATTCAAGATGAGATCCAACGACGTCAAAACGAGCTTGCCGCTGTTGCCGTGGAATTGTCGGCTCTTGATGCAGGTCTCTCCCCGGCGGAAACTCGCGAAGCTAAATACCGGCAGAACGATGAGTTAGTTACAGAGCGCCTCCCCGAGAAGTGGAAGGAGTTTAAGGACCTATTCTCTACCAGAGCTTCAGACGACCTCGCTGCGAGGAGACCCGCCGTCGACCACGAAATTAAACTCACCGGCAATAACACGCTTACGACAGAGCCTCTCCGACGCATGCCAGACGAATATCTCGCTGAAGCTAAGCGTTATATCACTGAGAACCTCCATAAAGGGTTCATTGCACCATCAAACGCGCCCTGGGCTGCGCCTATCCTTATGGCAAAGAAGGCTGGCGGTGGGCTTCGATTTTGTGTCGATTTCCGAAAGCTGAACGAGCTTACCCAGAAAGATCCCTATCCTATTCCCTTGATTGATGAGATGATGGCTAGAATCTCTAAAGCAAAGATCTTCACCAAAGTCGATATTCAGCAGGCATTTCACAAAATACGTATGTTAAAAGATTCGGAGGACTTCACTACCTTCCGCACTCGTTACGGAACATATAAGTACAAAGTACTCCCATTTGGCTTGACTAATGGCCCTGCCACCTTTCAACGTTTTATCAACGATATCTTAATGGAATACCTAGACGACTTCTGCTCAGCTTACCTCGACGATATCTTGATCTACTCAGATTCAGAAGCGGAGCATGACCTTCACGTACAAAAAATATTGGAGATATTGCGAGACCACGGCCTCCAGGCAGACATCAAGAAGTCTGAATTCGGCGTGACACGTACGAAATTCTTGGGCTTCATCATTGGTACCACCGGGATTGAGGTAGACCCCGAGAAAACTGAGGTTATCAAGAATTGGGAATATGCTAGCAACGTTCGCGGCGTACAAAGCTACCTAGGTTTCTGTAACTTCTACCGTCGATTTATCAAAGACTACAGCAGTATTTGCCGGCCACTCACATTACTGACTGGAAAAGACGTCCCCTTCCACTTCGGTGGAGCTTGCAAGGAGGCATGG